TTGAGAAAAAGCTATTGCTCTATAAACCAGTTTCCCCTACCCACCGCCTGCTAAACCAGCTTTGAGTTATGCAAATTACAGGTGAACCACACAATCCGTTAGAAGTATATACCTATTTTCTTGCAGGATGTCACACGGCCATAACAAGCTTTTAACTGTAAATACAGAAAAGAGAGTGCAATCGCACAGAGGAGCTGCAGAGCACTTGCAGCCACAACACAGATCGTCTGTTATTTGCAGACCACCCATTTGGAAACACATAAGCCACTGACTGATCATCAACTTTAAATGCAGCAGGCATTGCAATATACAAAAAAATCTTGGCACAAGCTAAAGCCATTTCTAATTTCATTCCATGAGAGCTTATCAGAAGCTATTCAACAGGGCTACGGCATCACGTCAGCCTCCATATTCCAGGTTAGGTTTTACTTCGTACAGCATGCCAAACCCAGAATCTTCCGGTAACATATTAAGCAGCACATTTCAGTTTGTCACTTTTCAAAAATCACCATGCAAAAAATGATTACGGCATAAAACGGCAGTCTGCTTCACTGCCTCACCAATCTCTCTCGCTCAACTCGGAATTCAGTGGTAACTACGAGAGAGAAGACCCTGTGGTTCTCTCAGGAAGAGGCAGAAGGTCAGAACCAGGCTTTGTCCAAACACTCCTTTCACTTGTGGAAGCAGCACCGCCCTGTGTCCGTGTTCAGCAAGTCCATTTAATTGTGGCAGCGTAGGTTGATAGTAATTCAAATAAAGTGCCACAGTTGCACATAATTGTTTAACAAGTCAGACAAGTTAATAGCCACTGTGTACGAGTATGCCTAGAAAAGATCACTGGCTGTTGTGAAACAGTCCTGGAGGTGTTCCACAGGAAGCAAAACTGGTAACATTACCTACAGCACAGATGCCCTAGTTCTGGTTTGGGGGGGGGAGGTTTAGTATTTTTTTTAATACAAAAAGAATGTTAAGGAATGTGTCCTTCGCAGGCCTACTCAATTACTAATTGCAAGGGCTGTGTGAAGGCTTACTTCAAAATTGCATCGTTTTTCCACCGTACCACTTCAGTGCACACAGTAACGGGAATTCTTCTCCTTGCTAAGAACCCCACAGAAACAAAGAAATACATTAACCTTTTCTAAAACCTGCAGTTTCTTAGGCTTATTGCTTCTTTCTTGTTTGAAGGTGAACTGCAGATGAACTGTTTCTTTAGATGTACATTTCCCAGCAAAGAGAATGAATTGTTATTAACTGATACGACAATTTCTTCGGTACTGAATCACAGAGGAAAAACTGGGTCTCCTTTCTAGGAAAATTTAAAGGTACCGGGTTGCTATTTTCACACGCATTCCGTAAAGTCAGAATTCTGATGCCACAGGAGCTGCACCAGATTTCCCAATAAAGCCATGTTTGGAATGCGGAAGTTAGCATCTATGTTCTGGAAGAAAAAGCCAAATTAAATCCTGACCTAAGCCAATACTACTATTTAAACATGGACAGTAGCATGCCTGCTTTCACCCAAGAAGTACACCAGGTGTGAGCACTTTCATAGCACTGCAGCCAGAGTGTGCAATTTGGCACTGGTGAGAGGAGCACTGCTTTATTCTGCCATGCCCTCGTGTGGCTGCTAACATCAGTTAAAACCGTGTCAAATTCTCAAATCCCGCACAAGGAGGCACTCCCTGTGAGAAAAGTTCCTTTTTTCTGTTTTAGTATGGCATCATGGTATACTAGTTGAGGGTGAATCCAAGACAAGAAACAACAGTAACTACACTATCAAGTTTTCACTGCTGAGTGCATCTTCTGCTCTGCACTACATCTCAAGTTATTGCTACCGTGAAATTTCCACACTATTACTCCAGAGTTACCACGCCTGCAGATAAATGCATGCTGCTCAGTCTTACCTGGATTTGGCTTTCCCATTGCGGGGGAGAGGATGATAACATTAAACACACACACACACCCCTCACCAACTGTCCTATTCCAAAGGGAAACCCCATAACATTTTAGAAGTTGAAATATTTAACCTTAGTTTCGCAGAACAATGCATAAGGTTTTCAAGTCCTCTGCTTTGCACTGATGCGTTGCACTGCTTGTGCTTTTTTGTAAAACACTAGCAGTTGCCAGGAATTACTTCTCAGCAGAGGCCTTCAAGGCACATCAGGAGAATTCAAGCACAGAAGGGACTGTGTCGTTGAAGGTGAGGAGCAGAAGATTCCTCAGGGAACTTCAGGAATTCGTTTATGTTCAAGAAGCACTTGCACACATGCTACATGCTTTCTATTTACATTCCCAAAAAGCTGCAAGATGACACTCACCTGAGTTCTGGTCAATCCACTGCAATGAATCCATGTGCGCATTCAAAATTTTACAGATCTGCTGAAGCTGAGCAGAAAGAGAAGGAGCAAGTCATTTCTTACACTACATAGAGACTAAGAGTAGTAAAAGACAGCCTGCCTGTCCCTGCCTTTGGAACATGATGCAATCAAATTTCTCATATGTACAGCTCCACTAACTTAGCACAGCCAGTTTCCCAGGGAAGTCTGTGCAGCAGCTGTGTCGCTTTGCTTCTCTTTACCGTAAAGAAAACAGACTGGTTTAGAGTATATGCCTGTGGCTTAGGCTTATTCCAGTTCAGACCTAGGAACCACCACAACATTAATCACCTTAGGCTTGAGGTGGCAAAAGTAAAAGGGAATGGGGGAAAAAAGTCTGCAATACTGAAGGGAAATTTTTACTGAAAAAAAGCTTCTCAGAAAAGCCACAAGGAATGTCAAGATCAATTTAATACATATCAGAAAGAGCTGGTAATTCAGATCTTGTTTTCATAGGATACAAAAGTAGTATAAGGAAAAAATATCAGCAGTAACGGAGGGCATTCTGAACAAAATTTAGATTTGCCTCAAGAAAGATGCAAGCAGCGGAGCAGGTAACTGGATCAACGTTAAGAAATACCTCTGAAACAAGTTGTAATCTCAGCAAAAATTAGACAACAAGCAAATAACCAGAGTTCCTACCAGAATGAGATACTTTGAAATCTACTAACAGAACTGCAGAGTAAGTATGTGAGTCAGTGTCCTGGTTTCAGCAGGGATAGAGTTAATTTCCTTCCTAGTAGCTGGTACAGTGCTGTGTTTTGGATTTAGGGTGAGAACAATGCTGATAACACATAGATGTTTTTAGTTGTTGCTAGGTAGTGTTTACACTAGTCAAGGACTTTCCAACTTCCCATGCTCTACTGACTGAGAAGGCTGGAGGGACACAAGAAGCTGGGAGGGGGCACAGCCAGGACAGCTGACCCAAACTGGCCAACGGGATATTCCATACCATGGGACGTCATGCTCAGGACCTGCTCCAAGTCACACCAACTTTGGGCAATCAGAATCAGCTTCTATGCCTTTCAACCAAGGCTGGCAGGTACGTGGGAACAGCACCATGAGAGGCATTCTATCACACAGATGAAGTAATTCCTAACCTCTCTCTCCCTCTCGCGATAGATACAGGGAGACAGACAAGCAACAGTGTGGAGGGCTTTCTGGAAGGTTTGTCAGAACTGAAGGAACCAGCTAGTCCAGATTCTTCAAGATTCCTATCTCTTGAACCAGACAAACACTTCTTTTAATTATCCTGCTACGATTCAACACTTAAGGCTTGCAAGGATGCTTGAGCCACACACAGTGCATTCTGCTCTCATCACTTCTGTCACTAAATAATCATTACTTTTCAGAGATTATGCCAAAATTAGTAACCTTTCCCCAGACAGCTGATTAGACCAACATCCAAAGAGCTTTTCATGCTGATTCAAGGGCTTCCGGTCGCAATTCCCCTCTTTCTAATGCGTAAAATCTAAGTCGCCATGCATAAAACAGGATTACGTGTTTGACAAAGGCCGTTGATAGATCAATATCGTCATGCATCCCAACTCTACTTCTTGCTGATTGATCATCACCACATTAGTTTGCTCATCACATGTTCAAAGCAGATTTTTGTCTTACGTCCTCTCCCGTTCTTCATCTGCATGCTGCAAGTAGATAGTTCCGCTCTGCTCCTTCACAGACTCCTCCAGAGGGGTCAACAAGTCTTCAAGCTCTTTCTGCTGTGACAGAATGAAGTCCAGCTCCTGATCCAGTCTGAAAAGAGAAAGTGTTAACTACTCCACTTACAAGTTATATGCATTCTAGATCTGCCACAGAACAACGCAAGACGACGCAAAAAAAGAAACAAAATCATCTCAAGCGTTCATAGTTTCGTACCTCTTCTGATCAAGCTTCACTTTCTCTACTTCTCTGTGTAATGAAGTAATCTGGAAACAGAAGACAATTATTTATACTACGAAAATTCAAAACTCAACTTATGAAAGAAGAGTGGTGGAACTGAGAAAGCCAGCACCATACAAATGTCTACTAGAAACAAGAAGCAGTTACATAAAGATCTACAGACCAAAAATTGAATAATGGAGGTTTGGCTTTGAAAGCTCCACCCTAAGACAACTTGTTATCATAGTGTAAACTCACAGAACAGATTTTCCAAGCTCCAATGCCTACAGACCAGAACAGACAGGCAGTGAGTCTCTCACAAGCATCCAGATGTAATTCACATCTCTCTTTTTTACAACTAGGAAGTCCCACTAGATGGCTTGCTGCCTCTGTAACACTTAAAGCCTTTAAGGATCTAAGCAAGCAAAATCAGGTTACGTTGCATGTCACCTTACCTTCTCTCCATTCTCTATCAGCGTCCGATCCCAGGCATTAACTTGCGTAGCTTGATGGAGAAAGTGTTTCTCTTGGTCTTCCAGTTCCAGACTCCACTTGTTTATCAAACTCTCCAGCTGGGCATACGTCATCACTGGAGGTGCACTGAGAGGAAGTGCGAGACAGTACAGAGCACAAGATCGAAAACCAAAATGTAAACATGACAACACTCACTGCCCCTTCCTCCACCAGATACCAGCATTAATACTGGTACTCTTGCCCCAGTCGGGAAATAGTTGGTTATAACAAATGACTCACCTGGCTGTGGTTGCTGTGGTTATGGCAGCTGTAGAAGTCCCAGCTCCAATGGCACCAGTCGTAGTTAATGGCTTAAGATTCAAAGCAAAGCCAGAAGCAGAAGTAGTGCCTGAAAGAAGAGGTTCAAGTCAAGCAACAGAAGAGGACACATCTGCTATCTAACAAACCGAGAACAGGTCCAATATACGCTTCTAAGCACAGTGCTGTATGAGCTCAAGTAGGTCCCTTTGAAGGAACAAAAAGCAAATCCCACGTCTGCCAAGAAGGGAGTGAAGCACATCTTGACACAAAAGTAGTGGACTGTAAATGCCTGACTCGCAGTTCTAGTAAGAGGAGGAACTGTCAGCCTGCACTTAACCTGGGCATTATTCAAAGAAACGCAGCATTAGCCCACACCCCTCTCAATCTCCTCATGTTTTAATATTAGGCCTAATAACTACCAAGCACACCCAGTTCCTCTCCTGCGTCTTTGCAGCACATGAGATTTCTACGTTTTCACAAAGCCAAGAGCATCTATCAGATGGTACTGCCAGTCAGTCACGTGGCACTTCTAGGCACTGCGCTCAAATTCTTCACAGTCACTCCAGAAACAAGCTTTAGAGAGACCTTGAGAGCTGAGCAGCACCCGTGTTATTACACTGAAAACTGACCAGTAACTGCATCCAGAAAAAGATGTTCAGTCCTGAACCCCAACACTGTGCAGCAGCAAATTCCACTGCAGGTTTTCACATGACGGTTGCCACTTAAACACAGCACTCATCTCTGCTTTTTTGTTTTGTTCTGTTTTTGAAGAAAAGTTAATGAAATCCAATGCTTTGAACCTTACAATTAGGAAGAAACAGATTAACGGGGCAGAACTGAAACATAAAACATCTCTCCCTAACACTCCCGGCAAGTCTTTGGCCTCCCCCTTCCCCCACCGGGACACCTCTCCCTCACCTCTTAGAGCAATCTGCACCTACACAGGCAGGCTAGAGAAGGAGCAGCTCGTCTATTTACTTTACTTGCTCCAGATTAGAACATCAAAGCCTACGGGCCTTCCTTCACCCAAAGTCCCTTTGCTGTGGACAGGCTCTCGGAAGTCATAAGTAACTGTGCCTTTGGGGAGATGGAGAAGGAGGATCAGAGAAAGAAATACTGTGTTATTCTCAGATATGGGAGGGCATTAGAAATTAGAACTGCTGTGCTGCTACACCAGCGTGGCCCTTTATGCTACTACAGAGCGCTGAAGTCAGGCTTCCTCCTCTGCGGTTACTTTCAGCATCTAGTTCTTACTAGTGGCAGTGCTTGTTGCAGCCGCTGTTGTTCCAGGAACTTTTAATCCAAACCCAAGCGTTCCAAGACTTGCTGTCCCAGTGGAAGGGGCACCAACTGTAAACAGAAGACAACATTAAGAGTTTGCGTAACCCATTAAATACAGCACCCCTCTGAAAAGCTCTACCCTGCCTGCTCACCCATCTCCATCTGGTCTTTATTTGTGTTAACCAGGATCACTGTTTAGGTGAAGGATCATCCAGCCACAACATGAAAAAGGGCAGGCTGAAGCTATAAAATAGCCAGAATGCTCTGCGATTCTTCCAGGAAACTTCATCAACCCAGGGTGCCAAGCTACTGTCACTTCCCTTTACCTCTTTTCAATTATCTAACATTTAACTGCTATCAAATGCTAACATAAGCAAAGGGTACTGGACACTGGCGGGCAGGAAGTGTAATCTCTGCATGCGGCTACTTGCTAAAGCAATACAATTGCACATACTACAGGAAACACGCTGGTCACATCTCAGTTGCCTGGAAACAACCCACCTATCATCATCTAAGAACCAGGCTTCAGGCATCCTGAAAACAGAGAATGCCCATTAGCTTAAAAGCATTCTTAAACACCAAGATTAAGGTCAGCTTTGGAACTACAGTAGCAATGCAAGCATTGTAGAGCTACTAAAAATGCAAGTTGTTAGGCTGGTATATACGGTGTCTACAAATTGCAGCTGATTAGTTAAAAGTAATCAGCGTGGCTTTAACGTAAAACCTGTGAAGGTCCTTGGGAGCAGCTGCCTACATTTTCAGAAGTAGGTGTAAGACAGCACTATGTGTGGAATAGTTGTATTAAGTCTGGTAAACATTGGCATTTACTGTAGCTAGTCTCCATAATCAAAGGCAACCGAAGCATTAATGTCTCATTGCAGGCTGAGGAAGAAAGCTGTTAGGACTGTCTTCAAACCTGGGCTACTGCCTTAAAGCTATCAGAAAAGAGACACTGTTTTCTGCCATAAAAATAACTTTGCAAGAGGAAACTTGCCAGTTACTACCAGAGGAACTTGCAAACATACAGCTGTGTCAATACTTCTTTCTAGCACACTGCATCTCCACTGTCACAGGCCACTGTTCTTGAAGAAGCATGAACACCTAATGCAAGAGTCAAAGGCAGACGTGACCAGACTCAAGGCACTGGGGTCTGGAAGACAGCAGCTAAAACATCACTAGAAAGCTCAGCTGTGGCGATACTACCCAGACAGAGAAACAAAAAATTCACATACAGCTAAAACTGCCACGTGCTGCTTGCCCACTCTGAATCTAAAGCGTGCTTTGCTTTGAACAAAACCCTCCATGCCTCACCACTGAAGAAAGTTTGCCAGAAATCACAAAGAGGGAGGGTGGCAAACAGCGAGAAGAGCTGGCCTTTTGAATGCTCCCGTATTACCTGAGCATCTGCAGCTCCACTACTGGCAGGAGGCACCAACGATGCTGCTCATTTATTCCCCCAACAGATAAAATCCGTACATCGTGACTTACGTGAGAGGCCCGTGGTGGTAGCCGACGTCGGTGCTGAAGAACTCGCTATAGATGCAAACAACGTAGGCCCCGCTGAACCAAGAATGGAGGTTGTGGTGGTAGCGGCAGCCGGGGGAGCGGCGGGTGCGGTGCTGAAGAACTCGCTATAGATGCAAACAACGTAGGCCCCGCTGAACCAAGAATGGAGGTTGTGGTGGTAGCGGCAGTTGTAGCAGCTGTGGATGTTACTACAAACAGAAAAAGCGTAGCTCTTGTACAGTCATGCTGAGAATGGGATACAAATTTGCCTATCTACACCAGTTTTTTATGGACGTAAGAATTTTAAACTATTTTCCCTCTTATTCTACCTCAACTCTTTCTCTTTTCCAAAATGCCCTTTAAACCTGTGGCTCCCTCCCACTATGCTCCAGCAGGAAGTACGGAACAGAATTTGGTATGCGGGACGCAATAAAAAGTACAGGATACTGAGTTCAATGGCTGCATGAACTGCCACAGATTACTGATGCCATTGCAAATTCACAGCAACAAACACTTCTAGCCCATTTCCAGACTCCAGTTTAGAAAACTGTTCCCAGAAGGACAGCAGATTCACAAAGTCTCGAGTAATTATTTCCTAAAGTCACTTCCTACCTCCAAGTTTGGCTCCAAAGGACAGAGTGGGTCCCTGGCTGGTACTAGTGGTCAGCGTTGCTGCGGGTGCACTAGTGGCTGCTGTTGAAGGCAATGACCCAAAGTTTAGAACTGGAACAAGTAGCATAAGTAAAAGGCGAGCCTTTTACTACAGAGACACTGTAGTTTCTGCTGATCACAGTAATAGTCAAGTTAGAAGCAGTAAGAGCGTAAGAAAAAAACCATAATATTCAGTGTAACAAATACTCTGCGTTATCCGGGAAATGAACTAGGGCTAACAAGCTCGTTACCTACAAAGACTTTCAAGAATGATTCTAACACAGATGAACATCACCCTCACCCCAGAGCTGATGACCTCCCCCCCGAGGCCTGCACTGTCACCAACAAGTAAATCAAAAGCTGCAAACTGAATTTTTGCCAGATTCTGCAGGAGTGGGCAGGTTCCTGCTTCTGGGAAGGTGAACAGTGGTTTATCACAAAAATCAGCCAGACCAAGGTGCTGTCCTGAGAAAGTTCCCCAAATACATGCTTCGCTTGGCCAGACTGGCCTAGGCAAGAGACAAACTCACTAGCTCATTTAAACACGTATTCAAACTCTGCCAATTACTGTAATGCGAAGAAACAAATGGATTCAGCACACCTGCTGGGATCCTAATGGATGGGGTTTTCTGCCTGTATCACCTGCCGGCCTCAAGAAAACAAATGATCAATACAAGTTCAATAACACTTGAGGTTGGAGACATCTACTTCCCATGAAAACAGTGTGCCGAAGGCTAAATAGCACTTGCTACTCATCGCTGAAGACCCTGGGCTAGCATATCAGAAAAACCACTGATTCCAGCCACTTGCTTCATTTCACGCCAGCAGAAGCAGGAGGCTGCAGAACCTCCACACCATCCCCAGTTGCCCTCCCTGCTGACAGGCTACCTGACTACAGCTGCCACGTCGAGCCCAGGCACTCACCGGCAGACTGCCCCCCAAGGCAGAAGGGGGTTGTCGACTGGGTTGCGGCCCCTAAGGTGGCAGCAGTGGTGGCAGCAGCTGCAGGTGCTGTTCCAAAGGTCAACCCGGTGGGCGCTGCCTGCGGAGCTGCAGCGCCAATGTTGAAGCTGGGCGTTCCGGCCTGAGTTGCGGTACCACTGGAGAAAGTAAACGTTCCAGTTGTCCCAGACTGAGCGGAGGTGGTGGTGGTGGTGGTGGTGGTGCCAGCACATCCAAACACAAAGCCAGAAGGGGCTGCTGCTTGACTTGAGGGCACGCTGGTCGGTACAGAGCTACCAAATCCAAAGCCCCCTGTGATTCCAGTAGCTTGAGTTGCAGCGCTGCCTCCAAAGTTTAATTTTGGTGCATTTGCCCTGGGGAAGAAAAGAAAAGAAGCCCATCTGTTTGAGACGTGCATCCAGCCAAGTACTGAGTCGGCCTTCTTACAGACCATTTGCTGACAGCAGAAGCCACCTTTCAAAACGATGCGCGCTTGTCCGGGTTTATGCTTCAATTTTGACACAGACTGTACGGCAACTCCTGTCACCTGCAATCCTCTGTCAAGTCTCTTTATACTGACTCCCCCTTGATTACCTCCACCCATCCAGGCACCAGAAGACATTTATGGCAGCATAAGCAAAGTCGCTTATTCTCTCAGCTCCCGAGCACCCTTTTCACTGCCTCTACAGAAGACTGTTTTTTTCAGCTAACTTTTGCTGCTAGTCCCCATTTGAGCTCCCTTCCCACTGCTCCCATCTGGCAAGCTTCAACAAGAGCAGTTCTGAAGAACCACCTCAAAGCTTACAGCCTTTCCCAAGGACAAAACGGTCCCACCTGGCTGAAGAAACATTCTGAGCGCTCCGGTTTCGGATCAGAAAAGACAGGACGTTTCATGCTCGGACGCAGAGCTTTGTACTTTCTTCACGCACGCGTCAATACCCCAATTACAGACTGTAGCGTGGAGCAGCTTATTCTTAACACCCATCTGAAAAAGCCCGCACTG